CCCCGCCCCCCCGCCTCGAAGTACCCCAGAGAGCTTTTGGTTCCAGGCCCCCTATATTCAAGCCCTACGTGGGGGCCCTAAGGGCCCTGTGCTCAGGCACAACTGGACAAGTAATGCCTCGGTGCTCCACGGGTCCAGTCCAGACATTCCCCACCCCAACACCCAGGCCCAGGGGTTGGAGGAGTGCCCACCCCTGGAGTAGCCCGCGTGTCCTCGCCAGCCCTTGACGTCCCATCCGTTGTCCTCTTCTCCGAGAGTCTCCTCTGCGTCTCTGCGTTCTTGTCTCCGCGCCCCCCTCCAGCCCCTGCTGCAGGTTCCCGGGCCTCTCCTCCCCTTCCCCCAGCCCAGGCTGTTTGTCCGTCTGTGGCCCGTCAGTTCCTTCCTTTCTCTGCTGCCTCCACCCCCCTGCGTGCGTGCGGCGAGTGCGCGCGCCTCTTGCGGGTGTGCGCTAGGGAGACCGAGTGTGTGCGCGCGTGGCGGCGCGGTTGTGTGTGTGAGCGCGTGGCTGACAAAGGCTCTGGGCTGCGGGGAGCGGAGGGAGGGGCGGGGCGGGTCCGCGGCGCCTGGGGACCGGGGATGCGGTTTGCAGCTGGCCTGAAGACGCCTCCCCCTCTCTATGGCGCTTGGGGCCTGGGGTAGGGCTTGGGCCTCTGGGGTTAGAGAGGGCTGGCCTCAACCCCTGTGAGCTCTCTGGGAATCAGCCTTGGGGATGGGATTGGAGTCGATAGAACAGCTGGGTTCTAGTTCCAGATTTGCCCCTAATGTGCTTGGTGTGTGACCTTGGGCCAGTCTCAGCTTGTGTTTGGGTCTATTTGGTGAGTTGATTGATCCCTGGGTCTTTAGGGGATGAATGTGGTTCTGGAATTCTGTTCTGCTGCCTCCCCTCCCCGGCTTCTTAGGGGTCTAGGGGTAGCAACTTGCCCTAGATTGAGCTGCTAGTGGTCGGGAATGGTGCAGCCTTGAGAGGAAAGGACTCTGGCCAGGTTGCACAGGTGGGGGCTCCCTGGGGGAGGACAGCAGCACTGTGTACCTGGCATGCTGGCCCAGAACCTGCCTAACCACAGCTTAGTAAAATCTGGAGCTACTGAAAAAGAAAGGGAAAGAAAAAGACAGCGAGGGAGAGCAGGAGGAATTTTTGGATAGAGAACTTGGTGGTGATTGAGAGAAGAGAGCGTGGCATAAACCACATGCCACCTGGGTGCCCTTCTCCAGGCCTCAGTCTCCTCTGTTGTATGGAGTTTCGTGTATGGTGGGGAGAAGAATTCTCATGGGACAACAGAGGCCTCCCCTTCCCCCCTCCTGCTTTCAAACCCCTTGGCTCTCCATGCCCCCACTGGAGGGAGCTGGCAGTGGGTACCGGTGCCATCAGTTTCTGGGTCGAGATGTCCCTAAGAGACTCTTACTTTGGTCTGGGGAGAAGGAATCTTGAGCACCCCTTCATGCTGTTTGGGACCTGGAAGCTTAAGTGCCACCCTGAGGGGACAAGTCAGAGAGTATCAGGGACCTGTAGTCAGTGCAAAATAGGCTTCTGTACACAGGAGAGCCAAGGCCCCTGCACAGCACTTGTCGGAGATGGCCCAGAAAGTGAACAGCAGCGCTGGTGTTAGATCTACCAGTAAGCCTGTGCCTGGGAAGAGGTCTCCCCACCCTCTCCCAGCTAGGGAATGAATGGTGCCGCTTCTGGCACTGTGACACTTTCCAACTTGTTTTTTCCGGCCCCAGACCACCCCCTCTGATGTTCTCAGTGGAACTGGCTCTGCCAGGGTCAGAGCAGGAGAGGGTGGGATCAGGGAGGTCTGATGCTTATCTGCCCTCATCTCTACTGGGGTCCCAGAATTAGATTGTCAGAATGGGGGAACGAGATAGGAAATTTCTGGTGAAGTGGTACGGGGAGGTGGGGCGTGCTGGCTAAGACGGGTGTGGGACAGTTAGGGAGGAAGGCCCGGAAAGCCCTGTGCAAACACCCGCCTGGGCTGTGCATCCCTCCCTGTCCTGGCACGGGGCAGGAGCTCATGCGCTGCCCCGCCCCCAACGCACGACATACACAGATTTCCTCTCCGGATAAGCCTGGCTACCCCTCTTTCTGTGGTAGGTTTCCCCATTCCCCTTTCCCCAGCTTTAGTTTTTAGGAATATTTACTATCTCTGTGGCAACTACCATGGCTTGATGTGTCTTGTGCTAGGGCCAGGGGAATGCTCCTTCCAGGCCTGAGTCCACCTGTTGCTGGCTGGCCCAGCTGGGACAGAGGCGGGGATGTGGACACTTGGCTGCTCAGACACCTTTGATGTTCATGCCCACCTGGCCCCAGTTCCCCCATCAACGATGGAGGGAGTTCCCACTCACCTTTAAATCTGTCTGTCCTTTAAATCTGTTTTTTCATGGTATAGACCAGCTCTGTCCAAAAGGAATATAATGCAAGCCACCCGGTAATTTCAAATTTTCTGGTAGGCAGATTAAAATAGTAGAAGAAATAGGTCCAATTAATTAATAATGCATTTTATTTAACTCAGTATATCTGACATATTTCAACATGTAAACAGTATACAAGTTATTAATGAGGTATTTTGCATTGTTTTTCATACTAAGTCTTTGAAATCTGGTGTATGTTTTACATGCATGGCACACGGCAATGGCACAGTGGCTAGGGACCACCTGAGTGGACAGCGCAGGTGTAGAGTCTTTGCTGCCAGAGTTCAAGTCCAGTCTCTTCAGCTTGCCAGCTGTGTGACCTTGAACACATCACCTGTGCCTTCTGTGTGACAATCTCCCCCCTCCACCTCCAGGTTGTGCGGAATGAATGAAAATGTATCTAAAGCACCTGGGCCACGGCCAGACTCCTAGGAGGGCTTCACAAATGTCAGCTGCCTTCTCTCTCATGCCCTTGCTCAAGCTGTGCCCCCAGCCACGATGCCCTTCCTGTTTTTTTCTGTTTATGACAGTCCCTTTCAGGACTCCTTTGTGAACTCCTCCCTTCTCCACCAGGGCTGGTCTCCATCCTGAGAATTCTAGCAGCTTCTGCCCATGCCCTAGCATTCCTAGTGCCACCCGGTGATCCAGCTAATTATGGCCTCTCCTCCTCCCCATGAGAACCCCCTGAGGGCAGCAGGCCTCAGAACCAGGTGAGGAGGGCCAGGCTCCTGTTCTTGCGTTGCTTCAATTGGATGAAATTGAGGTAGCCTAGAAACCCTTCCCTCCACCTCCTCGTGCAGATGGGGACACCGCTGCCCGGAGAACAAAGGCACTTACCCAAGGTCACACGGCAGGGCGGAGCAGGGCCAGAACACCCCAGTGCAGCGTTCTTTCCAGCCACAGGAGCCTCCGGTGGAGGTGGGGACATGCCCCCCACTTCTGGCCTGGAAATTCGGACACTCTGCTGGGCAGGGCAAGTGCCCTTTGGGGAGATGAATTTCAGTTTAATTTAGCCCAGGCAGTTTGAGCTCCCCTAGGGCACATGGCTCCTGCTCCCATGGCCCTACCAGCCTAGTAGCCACCTACTCTGCATTCTGAGCCCACTCCTGGCTGCCAGGTCAGGAGAAGAAGGGAGCCCCTCAGGTGGGGGTCTCAGGCACCCCTCCCCAGCTGTGCTTCTGGTGCCAGAGCTGCCTCTGCCCAGGGATCGATTCCTCCCTCTGCAACAGGGAAGCAGAGCTGAGGGTGTAGGTGGCAGCATTTTGCTCCTAGAACGAGGCCTGGCAAGAGGGAGCTGGCCTGGGCCTAGTTGGTGAATGACTATTGGAGAACCAAGTCCTTCCCCAACTTCTCTGGGGCACCTGTTCCCTGCCTGAGACCCATTTTCTTTCCCTTTGATGCAGCCTCCCGCAGACTGGGCACTTGGAGTTGGCAGGGTGGGGGCTGGTGAGGAGAGGCAGAGCTCTGCCCTGGGGGAGTCCTTTGCTGCCAGAGAAGCTGAGACTGGTATCCATGGCAACTGCTCACTAACAGAAACCCAGAAGAGATGAGCACAGGGACCCAGCCCTGGGGACACAAGCCTGGCGGAACTTGGGGGCTACCCCGAGCAGCTGAGCTGGGTGCAGAAGGAGGAGCTGCCGGGCTGGGGCTCACCCTCCTCTTGGCATGACTTTTGTCTGCCCAGTTGAGTCTGCGCAGAGCTGACAGATGGGGAAACTGAGGTCCAGCGTCTTTTACAGGGTCACCTGGGTGGGTAGGGGTCAAGCCAGGCCCTGGCCTAGTGGCTCTGTGGCTATTTCTCTGAATAAGAATAGCCACTTTAAGGGATAAACATCACCCCTGCCCTGCCCCATCGGTGACCCTGTCCCCAGCAGATGTCTCTGTCCTGGCCACTGCTGCATCTGCACTGTGGGGAAACCTCAGCTAAGGTCTGAGGGGTGGGGCATCCCCAGTGCCTGTCTGGCAGGGTCAGCACCCAGGCGAACTGCAGGGTGACCTGCCATGCCAGCGCCCTCGTGACTAACTGCCTGCTGCCCATTTCCTGGCTCCTGCTTCCTCCTCAAGTCACCTTCCGGCTGGTTCTGCCAGCACCTGCACTGTGCTATTGACCTGTCGGAGGAAGTGCCTTGAAGCTCACTACCTTGGTTTGGGACAGCCTGGCCTGTGCCTTAGTTTCCCATTTTGTGAATGGGGCAGGACAGCTGCAGGGCTACAGGGTATATATACAGCATGGTCTGAGAGTGAGGCTGCCCCAGTCAGAGCTGCTAAGAGACGCTGGGCCCCTCGTCCCTTCCCTAGACCCTTCTGCAAAAGGAAGTGGCTTTTGTGTCTGCCTGGATGTGGGTCCTGACGTCTTGCAGGTAGGAGGGGGATGAGAGTGAGGGAGGCCAAGAGAACGCTGGCTGGTTGCTGGGCTCTGGGGCTGGGCTCCCTAGCAGGCCTGCAATGTCTGCTGGGCGAGCTTCTGACTCCTGGCTTTGCCACACTTTGCCGGCTTTGCTGTGTGACAGCAGATCCTGATCCTCTCTGATCCCTG